TGTTTCTGAGTGACCTTTGACCTTATTGGATTCTTTGTGCTCCAGAGTCGGATCCGGAGGATGTGGAATGACACGGTGCGGCGGCAGACCGAGTCCTCTTTCATCGCTGCAGACGTTAACAACACGCCCACTCTGAACCGAGGTCTGAGCGTCTGTCTTTAAACCTCTGAGTCTCCTTTGGTGTTTGAGAGTGTTTTATTCATTTCCTCTCTCTCTCTCCTCAGCTCCTTTAGGAAACCACTTCCTCACTAATCCGGTGTTGCAGACTCACGCCGGAGCGTCTCCGTACGACACCATGCTGGCTCAGGGTTACAGTCAACCCTTCAGCTCCACAGGTAACCTCACCTTCACCTCCACAGGTCACCTGTAGCTTTGATTTTCTTCCTTCTGTTGGTGACGTTCATCTCGTAGTGACCATTCTTCCACGCTGGAGTTTCAGCGTGAGGCGCTTCTTAACGCTTCATGAATCACTTTTATTCACTTTGTTTCTTTTTACTGCCGTTTTCTTTGCTTTTTTAATTATTGAGATCTTATTCAAACTCTAAAGCTGAAAACAACAAAGACATGCTCGTTAGCTTAACTGCTGACTGTGGCTGTTCTCTCTGTATGTCAGCCTGTGATTGGCTGGTGACCGCTAACCCCGCCTCAATAGTGACTGCTGGTTTTGGCTCCACCCCACCGAGACCCCGAACAGTTAAAGCAGATAGATGACGGATGAAAAGGAGAGAGAGGCGTGAATGTGGAAAACGTTTCTGATGTTTTTACTTGGTGATAAATGTCTGCTTGTCTGATATTCCCTCTGTGACCTTTAACCTTTCTGTCTATGTTGAGTTTTTATGTTTGCAAAGTGTCTTTAATCTCTCCTTCTCTGTCTCTCTGTCTACTCGTGGACGTGTAGGAACCTTCAGAAATAAGAGTACGAGCTCTCCTTTGTTGTGAATCATTGAGCGCCACATCTTGTGCTGTGTTCAATCCATCTGATTCATAACCCATGACCACATGGAACACATCATCATGTGGTTACATGAACAAACATGACTCATTCACTCAGAGCGTCACCTTTATGACCTTTATGACCTTTATGACCTTTCATGTCTCTTTGCTCACTAATCCACACTTCCTTTTTCTGCCTGCAGAGGGTGCTGTGTCCCAGAGCCAGGACTCCTGTGGGTTGGACAGTGTGTGTCTGAACGGTGGTTACACCCCCAACACCTTCACCCTGCACGGTTTGGGGACCACGCCCGGGTCTCGTGCTGGAGTGGTGGGCAGTACAGACCTCTTGAGGGAGGGCGGAGTCGAAGACATCTCCCCCGCCCTCCTCACCCCTCATGGAGCCTCAGATCTGGGCAGCGGTGCAGGGATGCGTCGTAACTTGTCAGATGCTGCAGCACTGGAGAAGATGATCATTTCAGAGCTGGTGCAGAGCAACCTGCGGCCCTCGGTCCCCATGCCGGTCCCTCCAGAGCGCTACGGAAGTCTGGCGAGGCCTCATCACCACGACAGAGCGGCTCTCACTCACACCGCCACGTTAACTCGACATGCACAGCCACCGCTGCAGGAGGGCTGGGCTGCAACCATGCAGCCAAACATTCGCCACAACGCACAAGAGGGTTGGGCGCCGCCGAGGCACCACACACCAGATACTGAGACGCATTCCACAACACGAGTCCCAGACCACGCCACCACGCCACGTCTACAAGACGGCTGGTCCCACTCACGTGTTTTAGGAGATTCAGAGTCCCGTGAGCTGCTTAAGGACAGTGACAGGCTGCAGCTGCAAGGCACTTTGGGGCGCCGTGGTCTGCAGGACCGGCAGCAAGCGTGTCCCCCCGATGTTCAGGCACGGCCCTACTCCACCCTCAGCCGCACTCCCGGAACTCTGTCCCGCAACCGCAGCACGGCGGAGCCAAGTGGAGCGACGGACAGGGAGCGAGAGAGGGAGCGTTACAGAGACAGGCCCCTCCCACCTCCTCCTCCTCCTCCCCCGCAGGAGTCAGAGCCCCTGTACAAAGCTCTGGAGGAGTCACTGCTGATGAAGCAGAGGGAGGCCAGCGTAGAGGCGTGGAGAGAAAAAGACGAGACATTTCTACTGAAAAGAGACGGAATGATGGACGACTGGAGGGCGGGAAGCGAGAGAGGGAGGGACGAGTCTTTCACCTCACAGAAAAGAGACGGAGAAATGGACGAATGGAGAGGAGGCCTGGAGAGAGGGAGGGAGGAGTCTCATGTGTTGGAGAAAAGAACTGGAAGGATGGAGGTGTGGCGGGGAGAGACGGAGCAGGAGGAGACTTTTATAACTCAGAAGAAGGATTTTGGGATGGAGGGATGGAGAGGGGGGGTGGAGAGAGAGAAAGATGAGTTTTTAAAGGACAGAGATGGATGGAGGGCGGGGCTTGAACGAGAGAGCGATAAACTGAAGGTTGGAGTGCTGGACGTGTGGAGGGGAGGGGTGGATGTAGACAGGGATGAAAATTTCCTGTTTGAGGGTAAAGATGGAGGTCTTGACAGCAGGAAAAGAGGCTCTTTGCGTTACCACGGTGAGCGAGAGGATTCTGACAGCTTCACTCTGCCTTTGACCCCTGACCTGGACCTGGACCCTGACTCCTCCCCAATCTACGCCCGGGATTCAAACCCCTCCCCGCTCTACCCTGGAGACAGCCGCTCACCACCTCTCAGCATTTTCCCTCGAAGCTCTCCTCCTACAAATGTGTTCGCTCCTCGAGACTCTAACTCGCCTCCAAACAACCTGTACTCCCGCCACTCCCCGCAGGTGTACAGCCGGAGCAGCTCGCCGCCTCGCTTCTACACTCGCACCTCCCCACCAACTCTTTCGTATCCTGACAGCAGCCCTGAAGGTCCTGAGGAGGTCAGCCCCACCGGTCAACCCCAGAGACCCGCCCTGGAACTTCCCTACAGCTTAGGACGGCCCCCTCTTGGTCCGCGGCCAAATCACCTGCAGACCTTCTATCAGCCGCCACCACTGACAACCAATGGGGAGGCAGCATACACAGCAGAGCCCGCCTCCGACGGAGACGACGGACAGATGCAGCGTGTGACAAGCCTGTGACTAGGGCGGTGGTGATTGGGGGATAGAAAGCAGGCGGGAGGAGGAAGACGGTACAACAACAAATGTGAAGATACAGCTGATGGATAGAAGGATGGTGATGATGGTGATGGTGATGGTGGTGATGGTGATGATGATGATGATGATGATGATGATGATGATGGTGATGATGATGGTGGTGATGGTTATGATGATGATGATGATGATGATGATGTGATGGTGATGATGATGATGATGAGGGTTTGATGATGACAGTGATTGCTCCTCCCTGCTTCTACCTCCTGATCACCACGAGACTTCCCCTTTCCATGTTTTGTTACTTTTCTATGACTGTGATCCATTGATGACTCTTCCTCCTCTTCCGCCTCTTCCTCTCTCTGTCCTGAAACCCTGCTGTGTCTTCCCGGATCATCGCCGCTAATTCTTGTTTTATTTTTCGCCCATTGTCTGTGTTTCTATTGGTTGATGGGCCGAGTGTCGTCCCTCCCTGTAGCAAGCCAACAGTGTGTCAAAGAAACACGTGTGTGTTGCCAAAAAATCCTTTCAAAGAACATGTGCATGACTTTATAGTGGATTTTACCAGGCTGCATAGTGTAGGAGGAAAGAGCTGTGTGAGTGTGTGTGAGAGTGTGAGTGCGTGCAGGAAGCTTGACGAGCATGCGTGTGTGTAAGGATGTGTGTGCGACTGTATATACATCATTCTTGTATATTTAATGTATCACAGTGAAGCATTTTATCAGCATCAAATCGGGGGGGGACTCTTACACACTTCTCCTCTGACTGATTTCGAAATCTTGACCAATTCCATTTTCACATCAAGACCAAAAACTCCGCCTCCCCCATCCCTCCACACGCCACTTACTGTTGGTAATGGAACTGGTTGCAACAAAACTCTTGAACTCCAAAGCCAGAGATCATATAAAACCTCAGAACTTTTCTGCAACCCCCTTGAGACCATTGTACATATCGACCTCCAGTGTTCTGATTGTCTTGTATTGCTATTGAAGTTCAAGTAAACATGTGAAATAAAATGATCTCATCTTTTCATTGTGTGGATGTGTTGGGTGAGGGCGGGGTCAGGTGGCACAGGTTGAGGGCGGGGTCAGGAGGAGCAGGGTGAGGGCGGGGTCAGGAGTTAAAGGACAAGGGCGGGGTCAGGTGGAGCAGGTTGAGGGCGGGGTCAGGAGGAGCAGGTTGAGGGAGGGGTCAGGAGGAGCCGGGTGAGGGAGGGGTCAGGTGTGGCATAGTGAGGGTATGCTGTTATAACCTCCATCAGGAGGTGACAGAACCACCACTACACCTCTGTTATATCCTCCATCAGGAGGTGACAGAACCACCACTACACCTCTGTTATATCCTCCATCAGGAGGTGACAGAACCACCACTACACCTCTGTTATATCCTCCATCAGGAGGTGACAGAACCACCACTACACCTCTGTTATATCCTCCATCAGGAGGTGACAGAACCACCACTACACCTCTGTTATATCCTCCATCAGGAGGTGACAGAACCACCACTACACCTCTGTTATAACCTCCATCAGGAGGTGACAGAAACACCACTACACCTGTGTTATATCCTCCAATAGGAGGTGACAGAACCACCTGCTCATTTAGCTGACTAATCAGTTAAATATCCTCACTGGTCAGCATCAGAGTCACTAGTCTGATCAATAATTGTTAATATATTTATGTATACATTTATATTTATCGTAAATCTAATGCTCAAACTGCAATGTGTTGGCCCGCCACTAGATGGGGCTGTAGGCATAGACTGGCCCCAGCTTTGGATAATGGGCCTGCTCTGGTTGTAAACAAGCACAGTGCTAGCAGTGCTAACGTTAGCAACACTTTGTCCCTTTTGTGTTGATTAGTTTGATTATGTTGGGCAGTATTGTTACATCCTCTTTAAAAAGACACAAATTAAACAAAGATTGATTTTTAATCGTATTTATTTAATAACTGTTGTGCTCTCTGATTGGTCAGAAGTCTAACAACAACATTTAGTAAAATAAACATGAAGTCAGATAAATAGCAGCAGACCTGTCAAACACACGAGTTAGGTGTATTCTCTTATTAATAAACTGCATGTATTACAAACAGGAGCTATCAGCACATTAGGAACACCAGCGTCTGTCTTTGTGTTGCTACATCATATAAAACACAGGATCTCCTACCTGATCAAAGGGGAACTGAAGAAAGAATAAGGTGTGATTAAAACAGTGCCATATACAATCTGTTTATATTTACAGGTGCCGTAGAGAGTGGAGGGGAGGGGGGGGGTGCCTCCTCTCACAGGTCACATCTGAAGCTGAGGTCAGTCCAAAGGTCGAAGGGTCAAGAGCTCAGACTTCCTGCCCGCCTCTTATTTGCTCTCAGCTTTCATCTCTTGTCCTCTGAGCCTCAAAACAAACTCTCTCTTGCTCGGCCCGCTGAGGTACGAGCTTTGTCTTCACAGGAAATGGTTTCACAAACTTCACATCTCTCCAAAGCGGACTACAGGCTGCAGGTGGGTGATGTTGGTACAGGTATGGGAGGATCTAGCAGACAGTGTGTTGGGGGGACAGGGGGCTGTCCAGGGTTTCAGTCGGGGACAGATCTGAACTTATGCTCTTAAACATGGACGAGATGTGGAAGGCCTGCGAGAAACAAACACACGACCAACATAAACACGGCAACATGTGAACACACACTGAAAACAAACCAGGTGTATACTGACCACCCAGTAAGCTGTGAGCGCCCCCTGTATGTAGCCTGTTGTCACATCAGACGGGTGATGTCTGTAGTCTGAGATGCGGGTCAGACCGGTGTAAACCGCTAGCAGAACCAGAAAGAACTGCAGTGCGGGCCTGAGCAGCCGAGCCCCTCGCCATGTCAGCCGAGCCTGCAGGTAAAACTAGAGGACCAATCAGAACATGTTATTTCTACAGCAGGGTCTTTTTCTTTCTCTAACCAGTGTAACCTTAACCCCCCAACTCAAAGACCACCCCCGCCCCAACTGGCTCAAACATGAGCTTTGATTTCTATTGTTTGTGATTTAGCTTATATGTCTTATATTTACCTCTTATGTCTGCCGATTGTTTCCAGTTAATGCAGGAGTGTTTTTTTTTTTTTCTCACACACACACACACACACACACACACACACACACACACACACACACACACACACACACACACACACACACACACACACACACACACACACACACACACACACACTAGAGAGAGCGGGGAGGCGGTGAGGCGAGGTCAGACTCCTCCCTCTGCAGGACAAAGCTGTATCTGTTTGTCTCGTTCTCCACTCGAGTTGTTTTCACACACATGCTCTTGTGAACATTTCTAGATAACATCGTGAGGACGGCTCCTGAAATCCTCTCCTGAGGCAAGACGTGACAGCTGAAGCATCAGAGTCCTCCATAGGACTCTATCATGACAATATGTGTCTTTCTATCAATGCTACGTGTGGTTGAACAGACTCTCAATCTGAACTAAAGAGTGGAGAAGAACATACTGGAGAACAGGAAACATAATGCAGCAGGTTCATTAGAGCACGGAGATGGTAGAGGTGGCGTGCAGACAGTCTATGGTCGTGCAGCGATCACAGGGAATAAAGGTGCCCTCACACTCCTTTATTCTCTTGTTTCTACTGCTAACTGACGGACGGCTTTATTCCCTTCCTCTCTGCATTTTGTACAAATAACAAAATTGAAAACTGGAGACACGTGAAATTATGTTTTTTGGTGTTGATGTGAGTGAGACAGAAAATGTGTTATAGTAGAAAAATGAGTAGAAAGAAATACTTACTGCTAAATAGAGCATTGTATACATGGCGAAGGAGGCGTGGCCAGAGAAGAAGGACTTCCTGAAGAAAACACAGAGGCGCAAATACTGTATACATCAACACGGAGTATCAAAGTAACAGAAGCATCCAATCTAAACCACAGCCAAACTGCAGTTCCTCCAGTGTCCACTTGAGGCTGTCAGCTCAGGTCTGTGTTTCTTTAACAGCAGAAAAAAACGTGTTGGCAGAATCTGACTTCATTCTGAGTTTTTATTGGTTCACACCAACCTTTATCTTAAACTACAGAGTGTGTGTGTGTGTGTGTTCCTCTACAGTCTTAATCAAACAAACATGTCAGCCCTACTCTGCACACACACACACACACACACACACACACACCTGGCCTCCTCTAAACGGTGGTCCGGCTGGCGGCAGTTCACCGTGGCGACGTAGGTTCCTGGTGTGCAGTTTAGCGACGCATATGTAACCCCACACACGGACAGGAAGTGAGGTCGCAGCCGGCCAACGCTCAGCTTGGCCATGTTAGTGAGCGATTGGCCGACGCAGCAGCCGAACAGGAAGCAGCCCAGCTCCTTGTACAGACACGACACATACAGGTTCCTGATGAAGGCCTTGGAGCTGACGGCGAGGAAACGGACCCGGTAACACTCCCCGAGGGTGATCTGAAAGCAGGAAACAGTCAGAGCTGTCGTTTTACCTCCCTCCACATACTGTAACAGCCAATCAGGACGTCTGTGCTCACAGTGAGGCCGGTGATGATGATGCCGCCGCTGATGAGTAACTCGTCAGATATGGCCTCTCGGTGCTGGTAGGGATAAGTGATGCTGGGGTCTCCACACATAAAGCCCCTCCTGTAAGGACTCACTGCTTTCAACTCACAGGCAAAGAAAGGAATGGAAGCTGCACAGAGAGGAGAGGAGAGGAGAGGAAACCAAAATATCCCTAAAATCAGTCTCAAATGAGTTACTTAATTACTAATATTATTAATAATGAATAACTGTATTTAATAAATTGAAGGCATGAAATCCGTACACAAAGCCCTCGCACCCAGCTTATATCACAATGCAAATACACCAGTAACCACAAACAACTGCTCTCTTAAATTATAACAGAATTTATTTAAACAAAGAAACATCAATCCAACAAATAACTATTACAAACTAATCTAAGCAATCAAACATTTTCAAGCAAGGCTTGTGGAAGAGGTGTAAAAGTGTAGTTATGTATGTGTGTGTGTGGATGAGGGAGGGAGCGAGAGAGAGAGAGAGAGAGAGAGAGAGAGAGAGAGAGAGAGAGAGAGAGAGAGAAAACAAGATGGTGGAGAGAGACAATGCACCATGTGGCTTCGTCACATGGGTACAAAATGGTGGACAACAAAGGAAGCCGTGTGGCTGCCTTTTGAAATAGTTTGAGCTCTCTGAGCTGAGTTCAGTAACTGTTACTTAAACACCAGAAAGACAGTGGCCGGACTTTGATTCAACAGCGGGTACACTGGTCTTTCTGATTGTGAAAGCCGTTGACTGAAGGTAAAGAAGGCGAACACAGCGGTTCATCACAATAAAACAAATGCAGCAGCTTACAACAGATAATAAACAGAATGTGATGTCTCGTCAACAATGATGCACAATTATCAGTGTAACCACTGATACCAGATCAGTACCAATTATCAGTGTAACCACTGATAATTGTTATAAAAGAAACATAACTATTTCTGAAACTATTTCTGCCCAGACCAAAGCTCTTGGGGTAACTCCTGGTGATCGTTTCAAAGTTGGTTGGATCTTCAATCTGTTGAATATTAAATCCACAGATTCAGGCAGGTTTCCTTCGTGGCTGATGTAGGAGGAGGGTAGCAGGATTCAGATCATCGACCAGAGCACTGCTCTAGGGTCTTCTGGTTGCAGGAGTCAAGTTCTTTATGTGTCCTTATGGATTCAGGGGTCAGTGGGCTTTCTTCAGCGCTCCTTACCAGTTGCGTTCAATGATGTCTTACGAAAAATTAAAGGAAGGAAACTCTTCTTTTTGCTCAAACCTGATAGCATCTGATTGCGCCCAAAATTAAGCAATGCCTGGCGATTGATTTTAAAGACTGGAACTGCCTGTGGGTTAACCTCAGGCCTCCTCCAATGAGGATAGAGAATTCAGAAACCCCCCACATCCCTACTTTTCACACCTATTTGTTAGTTGCTGTTGGGGGGTGCTGGGCTAAGACTCCTTTGTATAGTTCCCTCCAAAACAACTCTAGTCAGGCCTGAGAACTGCGATGCAGGCCTGAGTCCTTTGTCCAGCACACATGGCTGAGGCCCAACAAAGGTGTGACAGCTGTAACACCATTTAACACCAGTGTGGATGCAAAGTGTGAGTACGGGTGTAATGATAGCCGACCTTTGTTATGGTGCCATCATGGAATAAGAAAGAGTTAAAGGCTCTGACATTCTGCAGCAAACATGAACAACATGAGGAGAAGATCATACGGATGTCTGGAGTGTGACGCTCTGAAAAATATTGTCCAAAACAGTCTTTACTGAGATGTGAGTTGTGGAACTATTTCCGGACGCGTGCACCTGGAACAAACAAATGTCTGGTACTCTTTTCCAATAGAGTCATCAATCTGTTTATTATAGTTCATGATCGGGGTTCACTTATGCACATAAATGTCCCATTCTGTCCAATACATCATAAAGCATAAACTGTTACATCCAAGTCAACCCGACACGGTCAAAAAAACTATATGCTTCCAAACACACATGAACCCAATTACCTGGAGCCTTGGCTTTATGCACAGCATTAAGTCAAGACTCCACCTGCTGTTCAGTGTCGGAATTACACTCAAATACAAATTTGCGGTGTTGTGTTGGGGTTTCTTGCAAGGATCAATAAAACGTTTAAGCATAAGCATTTTGGCTCCTACAATAAAGATGTCAACCAAGTGGACTATGTGCGTGTGTCTCTGTGTGTGTGTGTGTGTGTGTGTGTGTGTGTTTGTGTGTGTGTGTGTGTCTGTGTGTGTGTGTGTGTGTGTGTGTGTGTGTGTGCGTGCGTGCGTGTGTGTGCGTGTGCGTGTGTGTGTGCGTGTGTGTCTCACTGTCTCTGTCTCACGCTGCCCCCCCCCCCCAATACACACACAGACACACTCACACAAGCCTGGGCTCAGGGTAACAAACCCCACTAATGTGATTGCAGATCGTCACACACACATTTGAAGGTATGTGTACGTATTTGCGGATCTTGCACGGCAGGAGTGTTGCAAAAGTCACGTGTAAAATGAAAATGACAGCCAATGGAGAGGTCCGCCTCAGTTGTAAGTGATCATTTGTGTGTATTTTCAGGATTTACAGCTGAAAAAGTTCACTGCCATTAATAAATAAGTAAATATTTCGAGATTGGCCTGCATATTTGCAGATTAGTTTACGTATTTGTGGATTTGTGTACGCATATTCAAATAGTTTTGCCACAATAATAGCTCCATACACACACACACACACGAAGATCATATAGCTATATATTTATACCATTTATAACCCCCTCTGGCACAGCTCTGTCCTGAACACTGGAGGTTGTCATGGAAACTGTAAAATTCCCTCCACAATGCACGAGCAGGTTGGCACGGAGAGCTCGAGATTGTGCACGAGCGGAGAACAAAGAGCGTGCACAAGCGGAGAACAAAGAGCGTGCATGAGCGGAGAACAGAACCCCCCCCCCCACCCATGTTTACTGTATTTGCTGCTGGCTGTCTGCAGATACAAGAGGATACAAAAAGATTCATGTCTGATAGTCAATCGATTATTAAAGAGTTAATTATTAAATAATATCATTCTCACTACTGTAAGAAAGAGGGGAAAACTTGATAACACTCAAATCACTTTACAGCACTATACTTTACTTAACGTCACTCAACGTTACATCTCTTTTTTTGAGTCACTTCATAAAAGTGAAAACCCTCAAAGTCAAACTAAAGTGGTTCAGTTTGGTGTTTGTCAGTTTGGTGTGTGTTACAGATGAACTGATTCATTTTGAACTCTGATTTAAAATCTTGACTCACTTTGAGCAGACTCATCAGGGTGAGGTCAGCGGTCATGAACTCGCTCCTGATTATCAGCCGCTTGTTAAAAAAAGGTTCACATATATTCACCCAGGAGGAGGCACAGCAGGTCCAGGCCCACCAGGAGTTTCCTCTGGGACAAAGCCGGTCCAGTGATCTCCAGGAGCTTCTTCCCAGCTACACTTTCCATCACCATCCCTCCTGCAGACAGCCTTCCCCTCCTGCAGACAGCCTTCGCCTCCTGCAGACAGCCTTCGCCTCCTGCAGACAGCCTTTGCCTCCTGCCGGCGCCTCCTGCTGGTCACTGAGAGCTTTATGTCAGCAATGCTTCAAGTTCAACGTGTGGGCATCAGAGAGCATGGAGAGAGAGCATGGATCAGATCTGACCTGCTGATGAATCCACAGGAAGCTTCAGTGTTTAAAACCCTCGCTGACAGAGTCCACCGTTTTCTTTAGGCATCTTTCATTTCATCCCAGAGAGGATGCGTCCCGCCTCCTGCAACATATGCAGCCCGGTGCAACGGAGAACTCCGGACTGGTCACCGCACTCTCTCTCCCCCCCCCTCTCTATTCTCCCCCCCCCCATTTCTCTCTCCCTCTCTCTCTCTCTCTCCCCCCTTCTCTCCCCTCCTCTCTCTCTCTCCCCTCCTCTCGCTCTTCCCCTCTCTCTCCCCCTCTCTCTCTCCTCTCTCCGCTCTCTCTCTCTCTCCCCCTCTCTCTCTCCCTCTCTCTCGCTCTCTCTCTCTCTCCCCCCTCTCTCGCTCTCTCTCTCCCTCTCTCCTCTTTGTATCTTTCTCTCTGCCCCCCCCCCCTAAAGATTGTTAGTATTATTATATGTGATGACAGCATCAACCTGCATCAGGTCTTAGTCTCTTATTCTCTGTGGTTACTGAAAATGGGTATGTCACCACATTGAAAACGCTCTCTCACCTTAAAGTTCTTTCTGTATTTTGATTCTCTCCTGCAGGGGGCATCAAAAGCACCTCCAGCTTCTTATTCTCCTTCTGCTGACGGTCAGCCGTCTTTGTTTTGGTTCTTTTTGTTGAGGAAACACGGGGAAGAGGAGAGAGAGAGAGACCACGGGGGGGGGGGAGCAAGACAACTTGTCAGAATGTGAAGTGAAGTGAAAACAGAAAACCCATAACGTCACCATGATGTTATTTTTTGTCCTGAACCAAATCTGACCACAGAAAATCCAACCGTGTGAGTGTGTGTGCGTGAATATGTGTGTGTTTGTTTGTCTAGAGGTTTGTGTGCGTGTGTGTGTGTGTGTGTGTGTGTAGTTTACCTTTGCTTCAGCTGATAATTGGTACAGGCTTCCTCTCATTCTTTTTGGTATTTATTCACTTTTAGAATAAGGAAATTCATTACTGAAGTCTCTCGGTCAAGGTCACGTTACATCACAAAATGTGAGTGATTCTGTTTGTCACTTCCTCTGATGACAAGAATATAAATCCTGAAAATACTTCATTAAAAAGTTAAACCTCGACAGCAGCCCAGACGCTGCGGCCTGTTAGCTAAAGTTAAAACTGTTCAGTCTTCTTATGACTCAAACTGTTAAAGGTGACATATCCTCCTCATCTTCTTCAGTTTAAATAGGTCTCAGAGCTCCTCAAAACATATTAACAACAAATATTTGATCATGTCTATAAACCCTGCTCAGAACAGGCTGTTTCTATGTCTGTACCTTTAAATATGTAAATGAGCTGCTGTCATCCTATGTCTGTGTGCATGTGTGTGCGTGTGTGCGTGTGCGTGCGTGTGCGTGTGTGTGTGTGTGCGTGCGTGCGCGTGCGTGTGTTTGTGTGTGTGTGTGTGCATGTGCGTGTGCATGTGCGTGTGTGTGTGTGTATGTTTGTGTGATGGTTTCATAAGGGAACAGAATTCTCGGATGTTATTTTTATTTTGCACTTTCAGATTTTCTGCTCTTGTTTTGAAACTTGGTACTTCCTCTTGTCCGTCCTTCACTCCTCCACATGAATACTTCCCGTCACAGACACATCCTCCTCTCAGCACTCATGGAGAATACCAAAGCGCCTTTAAATGTCACATGATGTCATACGGGGACTCTGTCATGTATTTATACAATTAATGTGGAGGAGGTAAAATTCACCACCCCTGAAGAACCAACAGGAAGAAAAAACGACTCCTGGTTCTCCTGGTTCTGGTCCAGCTGACTCTTGGTTCTCCTGGTTCCCCCTCAGCGGTCAGGTTGACTCCTGTGTCCTCTGAACCCACACCCGTTTCCTTGTCTGAGGTCCTGTGGAATCCTTTGTCGATGTCAGAGGCCAGGCTTAAACCTCCTGGTCGCCCCCTTGAAGTGGTCTGCACATTTGGTTGGGCTCCGGGCTGCCCCCCTGAACTGATCTCTGTGTTTGGAAGGTCTCCTGGCCACCCTCATGAACTATTATGGCCTCATGCTTTGCCTCCAGGCCTTCCGCCTGAAAGTCCTGAGTCCCTCCTCCAGACCCCCTCTGCCCACTCTGGTTTGTGTTACCATGAGACATTTTAGGGTCGTCTGGAATCCGTTTCTGGTGGGGGGTGGGGGGGGGGTTCTTTCATGATTTGGTCTATTTCTCACTTGTGTCTTCAGTCTCACCTGTGTCTTTAGACTCACCTGTGTCACTAGTCTCAGCTGTGTCTTTAGTCTCACCTGTGTCATTAGTCTCACCTGTGTCTTTAGTCTCACCTGTGTCTGATTACCTGTGTATATTTAATGTTCCTTCCCTCCTGTTGTCAGATTGTTGAAGACTTGTATATTGGATTGTTGGATGAGTGTCTTTAATAAAGCCGGATTTGTGATGTCAGTACCTTACTCATCACCTTTGTGTTTGTGTTGATGAGGGATTGGGGGCAGGGTCTTTATCAGGTTTGAGTAGGGGCAGAGTCACCTTTTCCTTTGTCAGAATCCTCTGCTTTGGATTTTCTTCTGAAAGTCAGGTGTGACGCTTACTGTCTTACCTTTAGAGGCGGCCTTCTACTCATTGATTGGCTATCGTGTGAAATGTGTTTGTGTTTTATGAGGATGATGATATCATCAGCTTTGAAGCTGTGACCTTACAGCTTCTCCTGTAAGTGTCGACAGTGATCATCACTTCCTATTTGTCCTTATTGGAACACTTCCCCTTCACATAACCACAAACATTCCCCTCTTGTCCGACTTTCATCAGCTGATCCTTTTATTTTTTTGTGTTAAATCCCAACTCACGTCTCTTGCAGGATGGAAAGCCCTCACTCATTATTACACCATCACTAAAGGCCCTAAAGGAAGATCAATCAATCAGACCTTACCATATTACAAAGAGTAGATAACAGACTCTCTCACACACACACACACACACACACACACACACACACACACACACACACACACACACACACACACACACAGGTGATGTGGGGAACCCCACCTCCTGGCTTTATTCCAGGGTAAGGGTAATTTTATGTTCAGATTTGAAGCCATCTGATTGGACAACCAGCTGACAAACGCTCGAGGTATATAAACCTGAGTCAGCAACGCTGAGAGCTGTTTTCAGACTGATGATGAAACCGCCTTATCTCAGCATACCTGACAGGTGGGGCAGGCACGAGCACACACACACACCTGTTTGTTTTGAACGAGAGAAAGAAAGAGAGAGAGAGACAGACTGAAAGAGAGAGAGAGAGAGCGCGAGAGACAGACTGAAGAGAGAGAGAGAGAGAGAGAGAGAGAGAGAGACAGACTGAAAGAGAGAGAGAGAGAGAGACAGACTGTAAGAGAGAGAGAGAGAGAGAGAAAGAGAGAGAGAGGGAGGGAGAGAGAGAGAGAGAGAGAGAGAGAAGCGAGAGAGAGAGACAGAGAGAGAGAGAGTGAGAGTGTCGTAATGTAAAGCTGGAGGCAGCTTGTGTCTTTCGCTTTCCACCCACACACACAAAGCAGAAAACTGTCAGAGTGGGAAACCCATGACTTCCGCGTTTTTCCTTCAACCCTGAAACTGAACGCAGACTCTTTAGACTATAAAAGACTTCATGGCTCTCACTGCACACAGTCTGAAGGAGACCAGGACTCTGTCGAGTCTCAACAGGAGGACTTTCACTGCACACAGTCTGAAGGAGACCAGGACTCTGTCGAGTCTCAACAGGAGGACTTTCACTGCACACAGTCTGAAGGAGACCAGGACTCTGTCGAGTCTCAACAGGAGGACTTTCACTGCACACAGTCTGAAGGAGACCAGGACTGTGCCGGGTCACAACAGGAGGACTCTCACTGCACACAGTCTGAAGGAGACCAGGACTGGGTCTAGTCTAGTGGAGGAGACCTCAGAACACCTGGATCACCTGTACATCCTCCACAGGTGTCCTTGACAGAGACTGGACACTGTGGATCCTGGACACTGTGGACCCTCTGCCCGGCCCAGGCACCTTACTGCCAGTTAATGGGACACCAGAACTCACACATGGACGCAGAGTCTCTGCAGGAAAGTGGGCGCCGGCGTGGACGCTGCCTGGACGTGTTTCTCATTGTTTCCATCGTTTTCTTGTTCGTGGCTCTCACAGCTGTGGCTGCCGGTGGACTGATATGTTTGGCCAAGCTGCGGTCCAGTCTGGACTCAAGAAGGCCGCCTGTTCACCCTGACACATCAGAACGGACAGGAGACAGACCCAACCCAACATACAAGGTAAAAACAAATCTTTAATAAAATAATCTGCACTGATTGTTCTTCTCCTTCACATGTAAACATCCAGATTTCTCTTTTCCTCCTTCATCTACAGATGCAGAACTTTGCTTCTCTGGTCGCCACATCAAGTAAGTCTTAAATCATCACTACAACTTCTGATGTCACAAATTTAAAGAGACAGTCACATCATCACTATAACAACCTTAAAGACACAGTAACATCATCACTATAACAATCTTAAAGACACAGTCACATCATCACTATAACAACCTTAAAGACACAGTCACATCATCACTATAACAACCTTAAAGACACAGTCACATCATCACTATAACAACCTTAAAGACACAGTAACATCATCACTATAACAACCTTAAAGACACAGTAACATCATCACTATAACAACCTTAAAGCGACAGTAACATCATCACTATAACAACCTTAAAGCGACAGTAACATCATCACTATAACAACCTTAAAGACACGGTCACATCATCACCATAACAACCTTAAAGACACAGTAACATCATCACTATAACAACCTTAAAGACAGTCACATCATCACTGTAACAACCTTAAAGACAGTAACATCATCACTATAACAACCTTAAAGACACGGTCACATCATCACCATAACAACCTTAAAGACACAGTAACATCATCACTATAACAACCTTAAAGACAGTCACATCATCACTGTAACAACCTTAAAGAGACAGTCACAACATCATCACTATAACAACCTTAAAGAGACAGTCACAACATCATCACTATAACAACCTTAAAGACACAGTCACATCATCCTCTTAATTGCATGTGCTTGTTTCCCCCTTCAGGCCAGCTGAAGACCAGCACCATGCCCTTGGCACTAGTCCACTATGGAGCTGGAA